CCATTGCTCACATGGAATTTAAGTATCTCGATACTTGCGCGATAGTTCATGTCCCTGCCCCAATGTCATTGTGTTTGTATACATCTAATGAAGAAACGCGGGTTGAAACATTATATTATTATAGAGATCATATTCTACATTATTGTATAATAGGAACTCTTATCTATAGACTATAAGCTGAGCGTGGCCCCGGCTGAGCACTACTGAGCACGAGAGTACTGAGCACCGGTTAGTGCTGCTAGTGCTACGTAGTGAGAAAATCTAGAACTACCGATACAAGGTCAAAGTTCAAAGGAGTATGGCATCGTTCATTAGTTACGAACAGAGGTTATACACAACAAACAACGTAGATACAGATGGGCGACAATCACAGGGATATTTTATTGCTAGGAAGTTGTGCTGCTGCCGTCATTGTCGGAGCGTATGTGTTCTGGGGTCCTTCTGTTTATTCAGGAAAGAAGAGATCAAAAAAAGGTGTAAATTGATTCGTTGAATTTTCTAAATTATTTATGGACCACGACAACACTGCCAACGGCAACAGCGTGATGTAGCTGCATATTATTATTGTATTTATATCAGGAGTAGATAATAGGGAATAGTTCCCTATTATCTACTTCTGATTTATATGTAGTAATGTACGTCTACAGCTAGCCCGACCAGGCTGTGCGACGGATTCATTGTCTATATTGTAACCCTAGCAATACCGTTTCTTGGAGCTAGTCTACAGCCAGGATTACATATATCTGAATCCATGTTAATTGTCATCAGAGATTGCCTAGCTGGCACACAGGCACTTGGAACGTCTCAATAAAAAAATTAATGGTAAATAAACACGAAATGTACCAAAGTCTTAATGTTTCTCTACTCTATTTCGCCTATAATCACCTATAAATGCCGGTCAAATGCTCATCTGCAACACACAAGTACAGGTAATTATAGGCGAAATAGAGTAGAGAAACATTAAGACTTTGGTACATTTCGTGTTTATTTACCATTAATTTTTTTATTGAGACGTTCCAAGTGCCTGTGGCCTGGCACAATGGATAAAGTTCCACATCATCACATGGGGGCTGAGGATATAATTAAATTAAGATCTCCGATGCCGCGATGGTAGGGCGGCCTAAGTTCGCATTGCGAGTTAAACCGACCAGGTTCTCCGACTGTTAATTGTTACACGTCGTAGGAACCTACGTCGTATACACCTCTCGCCAACGTAGTGTTAAGCGAGAAGGGAACTTGTGGCTAATTGCGAGCATGAGCGAGCTATAGTGCGAACAGTGGCTATAAAGCTAGGAAAGCTAAATTATTTTTCAAATTTGAAAATTTTTAAGTATTATGCACCACATCAAGACATGACCTGTGATTTATTTTTCTCTCCCCGTTACTTCTTTGTTACAGTGGCATTGTCTAATTAACGGGGAGAGAGAGGGGCGAGTGACAGAGAGCAAACAAGAGAGAGCTAGGGGCGAGTGACAGAGAGCGAACAAGAGAGAGCTAAGGGGCGAGTGACAGAGAGCGAACAAGAGAGAGCGAGAGCGAGAGAGGGAGAGAGACACAGAGAGAGAGATCGAGTGCCTAACATTGATCAGATGATCGGTTTGTCTCCGAAGATTGCAGGCGTCATGACGTCGGTCTCTCTTCCCTGGCAGATGTTCCCGGATTGCTGAATCTTGGCAACACGTGCTTCGTCAATGCTGTGCTGCAGGCTTTGGCGGCGTGCCCGGGGCTGGTGCACTGGCTAGGTGACCGTGTGGACGAGAGAATCGGCGAAGACCATCACGGTCTCTTCGCCCACAGCCTCGTCAAACTTCTGAGGGGTATGTTCGTGGCTTTCTTGTCGATGGAGTGCACGGGGAGTACCTCGCTGATTTGGAAAGTTTAGGACCGGACTATAGTTCCGGATTAGTGAAAATTCCGAATCCGTAGAAGGTTAACAAAGGCGTAATAATGCATTCTCACTGATGTCGTACATTATATAGCTTACATATAAGCATAAACTTACACCTGGCATACTGAACATCTTTATGACAAAATGTCAGTGATGTGGTACAAGTTTGAGCTACAGCACTTATTTACAATGATTTAAAACAAAAAAGTGGGTATTAACTTTTTGTCGTAGACTGCATCTCCATACACCGCGCACGAGAAAGTCGTTACGTCAACACATTTCTGTCATCGGTGGATGAGACAAAGTTGATGTTAAGACCAATGTTAAGACTAATTTCCTTTCTGACAACGGGCCCTATAGCTTATTAACGGTCAACTCTGAACTTTGCTAGTTGGGCGGGTGGGGCATCCAATAGACCAAAAGTGAAAAACAAATCACTCCTGCATATTCCTTTTTTATTCGCTCGTAAATCGACGTCGTTGATGCTGATGGCTGTGCATGCGACCTTTGTCCTCTCCCGCAGAGCTGAACAATGAGGGAGCGGATCCCGAGCGCGCTTACTACCAGCCGGCGGCCATCTTGGCGGCGCTGCGCGGCCGGGGATGGGTGATAGCACACGGCGAACAGGACGCTCACGAGCTGCTCCACGTGCTCACAGCGACGCTCGACGAGGACCTCACCCCCACACCCGCGGTGGTACCGCTCTTCGATGTCCACTCGCTGCAGGTGAGCCGGGCGCAAGAACGTACTCGTCGGGAGGGGTGGCCGGGCAGGTTCGCAGGGGCAACACGTGGTCATATTATTTCTCGTTTCTAGAGTACTTTTCCAGTTCATAAATGTCTAATGAATGTAATTCACCCCTCCCCCCACCGGAAAACCTCCCGGATCACTTAAAAAGCTGTATTTGGTAGCATAACGACGGGGTTAAATGACAATATTTATGGGCAGTTACACCTAGATTTAGAATATTGGTACTAGGGGCCACAAGTAGTCATGCAGGGTGCCCTGCATGTGCAGTGAACGTGCGTGAGAGTGCAATCTGCTCTCACAATTGCATGAAGAAACTTCCGTAAGAAAAAAACGCCCTCAAATTCAGGTTCGGGGGATGACTGCCAGTGAGAGTGCGGACTATCGCTGTTAGCGTGCTGGCATCCTGCGCTAGTTTATCTGCCGAAGTTTACGAATGTGTTAGCAGATACGGAGCTACCACACATATGACCCCGATGTCGTCATGTGTGTGTCTGTCAGTCAGTCAGTCAGTCAGTCGTACCCTCTCTGATGATGTCGTTGATACTGCTGATGTTTTTCTCATTCGACGAATGTGTGAATAGTTTGGTAGTTCCTATACAGGTGACCCGGCCTCCTATCATGACACGGACGCAAACATACCCACTGTTGATATCCCCGCTGCAGATTCTTTTTTTTTGATTTGACGAATGAATTAACAATTTGGTGATTACTACCCGTGTGACTCTTAATTGTCATCTGTGCCCTCTCTGCTGATGTCATTCTCTTAGCGATAATATTTTTTCCGTCTAACGAATACGTCGGTAGGGATTAGCGTTTTACTTACAACAAGTGTGACGATGATGTCAGAACCAGTGTGCGGACACCCTCTTCGTTGATGTCGTCCTCCAATTACTATAATATATTATTTTATGTGACAAATGCATTCATAGGCTGGGAGATACTACACACACGTGGGGCTAATGTCATCACGCATACATGTGCGATCGTCTTCTCTGTTGACGCAGGGGTAGAAATAAGGAGAAAATAAAGAGATGTTCCACAGGACCATCTAGTTTGAAATTTAGATGGTCCTCCTAAATTTTAGATGGTCCTCCTAAATTTCAAATTGTTCTCTAAAGGTAATGCGGCATGTAAGCGTAAAAAAGAGATTTTACATGGTGATAAAATGGTTTAATTGTTCACCTACAATGAATGTATCAAACGATACAGTAATTGTTTATTCACTTTAATAGTATATTGGAACGTGGAAACTTCAAAGAAATTTACAGTAAAATGGGACCAAAATATTCAATGGTCTGTCGGACCATTGACATTGATATCTGATGGTTCTCCTGATTATTTGTTGGCCCCGGACCATCGGACCATCGCTTATTTCGGCCCCTGGTTGACGTCATTATCTCATTGCTGTTGTATTTATTTGCGTCTGACGAATGCGTCCATAGGTCGAGAGTTACAACCTGTGACCGTGATGTCGTCGCGCATGCACAGACACCCTCTGAGTCTGATCTCTGTTGAAGTGTTATCTCATTGTTGGTGTATTTTGGTGTGTGTTACCATATTGCTGATATATTTTTTTCGTGTTACTGTATTGCTGATACAGAGACTCCCCGACTTACGAACATTCGACTTACGAACTTTCGATGATACTAACAATTTGCCCTGAAGTCCATTAGTGTATAATGTCAATATTGGTGAGTAAAAAGACTGACTTTCGCTAACTCCTGTGTTCACGTATATGTTTACACTATGTACACTTCTAGGTTACTCGATGTTCACACGTACATATACTACACTACTGTACAATACTGTATACGTACGTACATATGTTCGACTTACGAACAAATCGACTTACGAACGACCGCTCGGAACCGAACCTGTTCGTAAGTCGGGGAGTCTCTGTATATTTTTTCGTGTTACCGTATTGCTGAAGTATTTATTTCACGTGACCGTATTGCGGTTTTTTTTCTCCGCGCCTGATGAATGCGTCGATAGGTCGGGACTTTCAATGCTTGCGGTGTGGACGTCATCACGCGTGCGCGTACGTCACTGCCGAGGCTGTCCACGCAGAGAGCGAGTCTGCCGTTCAGGGGACTGCTAGCGAGCCAGATGATCTGCAAACAGTGTTCTCACAAGGTATCGCACCTCGTGTCACGTGAACCGTTGTGTGTGTGCGTGTGTTCCGTATGTCGGTCTGAACGAAAAGAGAGTGAAGTAGGAAGAGAAAGAGAGAGCGGGAAGGATGGAAAGAAGAAAAGAGCTAGAGAGCAAGAAAAAGAGAGAGAGAGAGAGAGAGAGAGAGAGAGAGAGAGAGCGGAGAGAGAGAGCGGAGAGAGAAAGAGAGAGAGAGAGAGAGAGAGAGAGAGAGAGAAGAGAGAGAGAGCGAGAGAAGAGAGGAGAGAGAGAGAGAGAGAGAGAGAGAGAGAGAGAGAGAGAATGAGAGAGAAAGAGAGCAGAGAGAGAGAGAGGGGGAGAAGGAGAGGGCGAGGAGTTTATATATATATATATATATATATATTCCCTTACATGTCCTCTCAAATACACCCGTACATGCTGATAAACTGCTTGTTGGTGCATACAACTTTAGGTCACAGCTCTTGTGCAGATGCTGCCACAGATTTGATAGGCAGTGCAGTGTGTGAGCTCTAATTGAAAGAGGCATTTACAACACACAAGTATAAGCTGAGACAATTGCAAACATCTCAGATATTATGTATTATAGAATATGCGTACCGGTGGATAGAGACAGAGCACATCGTTTGATCTGATTAATTGTGATGATAAAAAAAACACGTGATCTATTCCTGCTATTGCAACATAGTGACGAGGTAACAAAGCCCCACTACGAGAGGTAGCACTGAAAATTGCATAGCCATGTGTCCTGCGTCACGACCTTGCACACTTTCGCATCCTCAGTTCGAGGCGTTTACCGCTCCAGTCACATACTCATTGCAATCGAATGAAATCGTAATTTTTCAACGTACGAGTAAATTAAGTCGTCGTCAATTAGATAACGAGTAAATTAACGAGTAACGTGTAACGTAGTACCGTGTAACGAGTAACGAGTACATCAGCTAAATTAATCGTAAATAAATCACGCGAGATAGTAATTCAGTCGCCAGCAACCTCGAGTGCCATCCGGGCCGTCGATCGAATAGGATTTTCTCAGTTTCGACTTTTCTCGAATCACCCAAGCGTGGGCATAGATCACATGCAACTAGGTTTAAAAAGACCCGGCAGCGCCAGTCCGTTATGTACATACTTTGGAACGATAACGGCTCATCATTATCTGTTATATTTACATTACTTCACTTCTGCACAAATCTGCCACCATTGTCGTAATAATCTCGTTATGATTAGGCAGATATTGATATAATATATAATATCTATATATAATTGGCAGTATTCTGTGGGCAAATAATTTTTGCATGAGTACTAACGCTATAAGCAAAATTACGAAGATATCGCTCTATCACATAATAAGTTATTTAGTGCGCATAAGGGCAAAGCTTAATCCGTAGCCGTACGCTAACTTAATAATCTTTACTGTTATGTGATTCAGATGATTCATAATATAGCGAGACAGCACTAAGATACCGGCAGCTTACATTAAATTTCAACAAGTGCCTTTCAAATGCCGCAAAGCGATTAGGCAGGTTAGGCAGAAAAATGGCACAGAAGATGAAGACTATTTGTTGCGGGCGCAATACAAACTGCTCCTCGCAGGCGTTGGGCGGCGTAGTCTCAAAAGGCCATGCTAGCATACGTACACTCAGGGACACTACGTGTGTGCTAGCATACGTAACTCCGTACACTACGTGTGTGCTAGCATACGTACACTCAGGACACTACGTGTGTGCTAGAATACGTACACTGAGTACACTATAGCATACGTACACTCAGTACACTACTGTGTGTGCTAGCATACGTACACTCAATACACTACGTGTGGCTAGCATACGTACACCTCAGTACACTACGTGTGTGCTCCAAATCTAGTGCAGGTCTATCTAGAGAGCACAGCGTGCCATGCTCACACTACAAGGCAGTTCCGTTCCCCCGCAACTGTAACCCAGAGGGCGCCTCCGCCCTCGTGCGACTATGCGGTCGACTGGTTTTCGAGGTGCGTGTATGGCAGTTCTTCGTCAGCTTCAGCGTTGTCGCTGTCATCGTCGTCGCCGCGGCGACGGTAGCTCCACTGCCAGTAGCGCGAGGACGGCAGCGGCGAGTGTTATGAGTCCGAGCGCGACAAAGACGCCGATCATCCAGGTGGAGCAGCCCGGAATTTTCTCGGCAGCGCTGCGGCAGACGAAATACACGTGCACCTGCAGCGTGCTGCTGCGTTTCCTCCCTCTCTTTCTCTCTGCCTCTTCTCGTTCTCACGATCTCTCTCGCCTCTCTATTTCCTTCTCTCTCTCTATCCCCCCTCTCTCTATCTCTCTATCTGTTTCCCTCTCTCGCTCTCTCTATCTGTCCTCCCTCTCTTCTCTCTCTCTTCTCTCTCTCTCTCTCCTCTCCTCTCTCTCTCTCTCTCTCTCTCCTCCCTCTCTCACTCTCTCTCTCTCTCTCTCTCTTTCTCTTCTCTCTCTCTCTCTCTCTCTCTCTCTCTCTCTCTCTCTCTCTCTCTCTCTCTCTCTCTCTCTCTCTCTCGTTCATCTCTCTTCTCTCTCTCTCTCGTCCGCTCTCTCTTTCTCGCTCTATTATCTATCTATTTTATCTATCTATCTATCTATCTATTACATCTATCTATCTTCTAATCTATCTATCTATCTATCATCTCTCTCTGGCTCTGTGCCC